AGCATTAAGAATACTTAATTTTACTATTTTAACATATTGATAAATGTTTACCTGATTTTTAGACCATACTTCGTAAAACAATATGGTGTACTTACACATAACTTCCTCTATAACCGACATAAGTTTAGATTTTTCAGATAGTGACAGTTGACAAGATATATTAAAGCTTTAAAACATTTTTAAGGTCATAAGTTAATATATTTTTAGTAAGTAAGTACCTCTTTGATAATAAATTTAAAGTAGTTGACAAGATATTTATAGCGTTGTTAATATTAAAAGACAAGACAATGAAATCTACAAACCAAACGCGTTTATTTTAAGAATTCGATTCCTGAGACGCGCCCTGCATTCGTTAGTACCTACCGTCATCGCTGTCGTACTGTACTGAACATCATCATAACAATGACTCATGGTGAATTAATCGAGTGTAATGCGACGATTATCGATTTAGTGAGTGATAACACTTTCATACACTGTCTGTTATGATTTAATTGTTTGAAGATTAATGTGCCTACAACCTCAGCCTACCAAAACAATGTTGGCTCTACAGTGAATAAAAAAATACCAACCGATTTCAAAGCCTACTCCTTTTTTGAAGTCGGTTAAAAATTCGACAGGCACTCAGTCTCGATAGCTCAATGGTAAGGGATGTTTCCCAGCAAGAAAAGGCATAAATGAAAAAAAAAATTAATGATAAGGGTAACGTGATATGTAAGGGAGTTGACATCGAACACCCCACCGTGCACCTCATCAGTGCAACCACGACCAGTCTGACAAGAGTGCCCGACTAAGAAGAAGAAGAACGTGATATAGGGCTGTCTGTATTTAATAACGCTAATCTTTGTAAGAAAACTATAAGTTATGGTTATTTATCACTGTATTTCGGATCCCTAAAACCGTCAAACATTTGAAGACTCGTCAGCGCCAGTATTTGCCGACGTCCGCGCCAAACCTTGGCCATATTTGTCCAAGATAAGAGCTTTGCTCTGAATGGCTTCTAATATTAGATTTATTTGATGTGTTACTTTTTTTAACAAGTTTAACAAGTTTACTTTATTTTATCCTTGAATAAGTAGGTAATAATACATACGACTGATTACATAAGTACAAGTATTTTGTGTTTTTTAAAACCAACATTTCGATGTTAAGCTGTATTGTAAGTTAATCCTCTATCTATCAGATTAGCAGACAGATTTAAAAATTAACATAAAAACCCTTAATCCTCTTTCATATTCAGATATTTCAAGACGTTTCTACACTATCGTACCTCTATAAAAGAGCTATCTACATAAATACCTTAAAGTCCTATCCATTACACGACCCCATGGTTCTCGATAAAAAGCGAATTGGCCATAATTCGCCCAGCAGGGGCCAATATCCCATGTTTGCGGTGTTGTTTACGACACCCCGCCCTGCTGGGACAAGTCCCAATAAAGTACACACCCTGCTTGGGACGCCACAGCGTTGCGACGTACGAGTGACACGACTCGGGCAATGCCCTAACACAGGCCAAACACACAAATTAGATTTGTTTGCAGTGTTCTCCACCCCACCTTGTTCAAACAAGCAGCACCTTCCAAGGGCTGTCAACTGTCTAGATTCCCCGGCTTCAAACGGTGGTCAAAAACATTTGAGAGTGTCAGACTGTTTCAAACAGCTCTGTTTTTGTGTTCATAACTGTATTGATTTCAAGCCTGACAAAAATATTGAAACCTTAGCTTGGTAATATTATTAGGACACATTTCCGGGGCAGACATTTCTCGAGTGGCGACCACAAGCCGGAAAACGTAGTGAGGGCAGGCTTTCAACTAGGTGGACCGACGATCTGGTGTAGGTCGCAGGAGGTGCCTGGATGCTGGCGGCGCAGGACCGGTCTTTGTGGAAATCTTTGGGGGAGGCTTTTGTCAAGCAGTGGACATTATTCGGCTGAAACGAGCGAATTTTTCCGGTGAATATAGAATTATAAAAAATCCGGTTTATTCATCCGGATAAATATTTCTGAAGACAACCCTATTTTCATGGAGTCAAGGGCGTGACAATGACGCCCACGGCGAGCCCACTTGACCGTAATTTCCCCAGCCCTACATGAGTACGAGTATGAATACACTCCAGGGTTGTTTGTTTGCTGTTTTCTTTACGACACCCTGTTCAAACAGGTCCCTTGCGAGCGATGTTAAGGCACAAATACACCTCAGAAACGTCAGAAAGTTAATTGACGAAGAAACAAGAAGTTTCGACATGTTTTCAGGAATAGAGGCGCTTTATCATTAGTTACTTCAGCATGAGTTTGCTCAGTGAGGATAAATGAAAAAAAATCTACGCTATTCTTGTATTGTTGCATCTGTGGGTNCCTCGAGCGCGATGATGTTGCTGACGTCATTGTAGTTAAACAGCTGACGCAGGCGATATTGAGCCTTACGCTACAGACAGAAGGTCGCTTACCGTCTTGAGCTTGTTGTGGCCGATGGAGAAGAGCATGAAGTTGTCTATGAACTTGGTGCCCTCGAGCGCGATGATGTTGCTGACGTCATTGTAGTCGGCGAACAGCTGGCGCAAGTGCTCGTAGGTCGGGTCGTCGCCCACAGCTTGCAGCGACGTTATCTGAAATTGGAATTGACAACATTAAACCAATCATCTCAAGCTGTCAATATTTTTGATATTTAAGCCAGAGATGGCACCTCAAGTTTAACCTAAATTTTTAAAGGCATGAAAAAAACGATGACCACTAAGTGCCACTCACGACCACTGAGATACAAAGACATCGGGTATACCCTTCACCCGAAAAAAATCATTCCAAAGTCGTTTGGTTCCGATTGGGAATAGGCTAAGTCTTCCCGTGGATGTCATAAGAGGCGAAAAGGACAAATATGGGAACAGCAGGTCTCTCCAACAAGTCTTGTTGAATATAGTTTCGTAAAAAAATCTCAGGAGCTGGGCTACTCACATATAGGACACGTTGAATTTGACCGTATTGAGGGGTAAATTCATTGGCATTTCCGTGAGTGTCGCTGCGAGTAGTCGGGGCCCGATAATAGCCACTCTGACAACAATAATTTCGAAGTAAAAAGACCTACTTGCATTGTTATAAGACACGTTAAGCTTCACAGTATTGGGCGACAGATCAGTGACCACCTGCTTCAGACCCAGAGGTCTCGGGTTCGGATCCCAGTGGAAGCATTTTCTGCTCAGTCTGGTTGGTGATAGCGTAGGGCTGGTTCTAATTTTGCCTAGGTAGCTACCACCATCTTATCTAAGTCTGTTCCGGGAGTTGAAGCAAAAAAGTCAGTTCCTCTGTGGTTGAAGATTCCGCGTGAAGCTCGCTTTCACCTTCAGTCTAATCATTACTTTTTATCAGGTGAGATGTAAGCGAAGAACTTCATCGTTGTGGGTAAAAAAAAGTTGCTTTCGACCGGCCTGTTCTCACAGCAGTTAGGCTGAGTTGCACTTTGTTTACTTTTTGTTTTGTTGCTGTCGCGCTCGCACACTCACTGCGGGCGCACGTCGCACAGTCGCGACAGCAATATAATTACGCGCGAGCGATAAGGATGGGTAGCTTGGGGTCATTGGACGGGATTCTACGTGCTCACGGACCAGGCTTTACAACAGTTTTTGTACGGAGTTTCGACAGATTTTTTATAGTAAAGGGAGATGGTGCAACACCCTTAGTGTTCTGCTGGGCTACTCACATTGTTGTAGGACACATTAAGCTTCACGGTATTGGGCGGCAGATTCGTGGGCATCTCGGTGAGGTGTCGCTGCGAGCAGTCCACGGCCACCAGGTTGGTGATACAGTGGTCCGTGCGACTGTCTTTGTAGTCTAGGTGTATGACTTCAGACCCAGAGGTCTCGGACTCGGGTCCCAGTAGAGGCAAAATTTCTGCAGTTTAGGGCTGGTTCTAAGTTCGCTTAAGTAACTACCACCATTTTCCTACATCTGTCACCAGAAGTTTAGCTGGGAGTTGGAGGTAAAAAAGCCGGTCCTCTGTGGTTGAAGATTCCGCGTGAAGCTCGCTTTCACCTTCAGCCTTATCATCACTTTTCTTCAGGAAAGGTTTGATCTGGCTACTCACATTGTTGTAGGACACATTAAGCTTCACAGTATTGGGCGGCAGATTCGTGGGCATCTCGGTGAGGTGTCGCTGCGAGCAGTCCACGGCCACCAGGTTGGTGACCTCGTCGCCCATGAGCTCCAGGCGCTCGAACACGCAGCTACAGTCTAGTGGTATGACCAGTGACCACCTGCTTCAGACCCAGAGGTCCTGGGCTCGGATCCCAGTGGAAGCAAAATTTTCTGCTCAGTCTGGTTGGTGGTAGCGTAGGGCTGGCTCTAAGTTCGCCCAGGTCTTACCTAAATTTGTCACTAGAAGTTTAGCTGGGAGTTGGAGGTAAAAAAGCCAGTCCTCTGTGGTTGAAGATTCCGGATTAAGATGGCTTCCATTTTCAACTGATCATCACTTTTCTTCAGGAAAGGTTAAACTGGCTACTCACATTGTTGTAGGACTGCTGTCTAGTTGGTGGTAGCGTAGGGCTGGTTCTAATTTCGCCTAGGTAGCTACCACCATCTTACCTAAGTCTGTTCCAGGAGTTGGAGTAAAAAAGCCAGTTCCTCAGTGGTTGAAGATACCGCGTGAAGCTCGCTTTCACCTTCAGTCTGATCATCACTTTTTATCAGGTGAGATGTAAGCGAAGAACTTCATCGTTGTGGGTAAAAAAAGTTGCTTTCGACCGGCTTGTTCTCACGGCAGTTAGGCTGAGTTGCACTTTGTTTACTTTTTGTTTTGTTGCTGTCGCACTCGCACACTCACTGCGGCCGCGCTTCGCACAGTCGCGACAGCAATATAATTACGCGCGAGCGACAAGGATGGGCAGCTTGGGGTTATTGGACGGGATTCTACGTGCTCACGGACCAGGCTTTACAACAGTTTTTGTATGGAGTTTCGACAGATTTTTTATAGTCAAAGGGAGATGGTGCAACACCCTTAGTCTACTGCTGGACTCACATTGTTATAAGAGACGTTGAGCTTCACGGTATTGGGCGGCAGATTCGTGGGCATCTCGGTGAGGTGTCGCTGCGAGCAGTCCACGGCCACCAGGTTGGTGACCTCGTCGCCCATGAGCTCCAGGCGCTCGAACACGCAGCTGCAGTTGCTCTCGGCTGGCTTGATCTTGCGGCAGTTCGCGTTCAGCTGATGAAAGATATAATGTTCTTTATTAGCCACTACACAACAGTTTGATGGTGATTCATGCGATCGATTCCGGCCATGGCGACTACTAACTGACTTGGCGGCGCTGGTGCGCCTGAAGATGGCAAATTCCCTCATTGAGGGCTATCGTTTTAGCGCTCACCAGTTGGCGCCACTGTAGAGTAAGGTCCTGTCACTTGCTAGTAGCGAAGACAGTGGTGCCGACGGGTAAGCGCTAAAGTGGTAGGAAGACTATCGCATTTACACTCATCAAGATGGCGCCACTGTAGAGTAAGGTCCTGTCAATCGCCAGGGGTGCCAACTGTTAAGTATAAAAACGATAGCCCTCATTGCGACGAGCGAGTGATAGAAGCTGTGGGCCTAGTGCGCGCCTTGATAAGCGTCATTAAATCGAATTTACGAGATAAATAACCCCATCCATTTTGACGTGTAAAATCATCGATATAATATTATCACGGCGCATCCTAGCCCGCCTGGTGATTGCAAATGCAATAGTTCTCCTAACAGTCACCAGTTGGCGCCACCGTCTTAGCCACAAGCAAGTGACAGGACCTTACTCGCTACTTCGCCAGTGGCGTCAACTGGTGCGCAATTAAATAAACCCTTATTTCGTTGCGGATCCAAAATTTAATATTTTTTTCCCTGGAACAAGCTGGCACGCTATGATGTAGGTAGTTTCAGATCTACACATACCAATTTAATTCTAAAATCTCGCTTTTCTTGACAGGGAAAAGTTGCAGCGCAGTGGGAATGAGAAGTATGTGTTGTACCTAAACGGGTTGTTGTAACTATTTTCAAATGCGTCTCAAAATACAACACTATTCATCAGCCTGTACCTCTTTCTGTATCTTGAGGTGGTCGATCTGCACGACCTGCACGTCCTTGAACCAGTTGAACTGCAGGTCGAGCGCGCAGAAGGTCTGGTTGTAGTGCAGGAACGTCACCAGCGAGCTGTTGTTGGCGTCCATAGCGCGCTGGAAGTGCTTGCATGGGAGGTAGTTGTTGCCTGGAACGTGAGGGAGTTACAGATATTAGCGTCACAGAAAGAATATTAATAGGGGTTGAAACGTTAGGTTTTTGTTGGAAATGTATTCAGGCGACGATGAAGTCCATGCCCTCATCGTATCATACTTCAGGCGGCTGCAGGAGTTTGCACAGGTGGCATAAGAGAAGATGGGCCTATTCGAGCTACTCGACGTCATAAGACGTCACCTGTTTTGTAATTTGTAGCCACAGATGACGAGAGACACGTCAGGTCATATTAGGAGCTCGAGTCATACGAAAATGGAGGAAGAGTAAAGTATCCAGAAGTGCGGCGCGGTGGAATGCAAATTGCCAATATCAGCCGCAGTTCTGGGCATGTCCTCTGATTCGACCAGGTATAACCGTTACGTCGGTTTTGTCATAGGAAGGTGAAGGAATGTCCTGTCATACTAGCATCTACATCAAGCGGGATTCGATTCCGCGATGGCGACAGTCCAGGTATTGGACCAGCGCGGCTGGCCATCAGATGTTCGAACGTATGTCATTTACCTGACAGGCTGCCCGCATTCTAACTCTTCCTCCGACGAGAAGAGTCTTAGAAGCAAGACTTTAAAGCCCGGTCTGTGAGCACGTAGAATTTTGTCCAATGACCGCAAGCTACCCATCCTTATCGCTCGCGCGTAATTATATTGCTGTCGCGACTGTGCGACGGGCGCCCGCAGTGAGTGTGCGAGCGCGATAGTAACATAATTACGCGCGAGCGATAAGGATGGGTAGCTTGGGGTCATTGGACAAAATTCTGCGTGCTCGCAGATCAGACTATAGCTGGTCTCGCAGAACCTGGAGCTCACCTGACAGATCCACGGATATCTTCTTGTTGCTGTGCACGAGGCTGAGCGGGAACTCGGTGAGGTCGTTGGCGGAGGCGTCGAGCACGGTCAGGTTGTAGAGGTAGGCGAAGGGCCGCTGCAGCGACGGCAGCTTGGCCGTCGTCAGGCTGTTGCTGGAGACGTTCAGGCGACGAGGACTTGGGGAACTTGCTAGTCCTATCATACTTCAGGCAGCTAGAGGAGTTTGCGCACAGGTGGTATAAGAGAGAAGGTGCCTATTCAAGCTGCTCGACGTCATAAGACGTTACCTGTTTTGTGATTTGTAGCCACAGATGGCGAGACACGTCACGTCATAATACGAACTCGAGTCATAGGAAAACGGAGGAAGAGTAAAGAATCCAGAGTCAATAAATGCGGCGCGGTGGAATGCAAACTGCCAATAGCAGCCGCAGTTCTGGAATATGTCCCCTGATTCGACCAGGAATGTCCTATCATACTAGCACCTACACCAGGCGGGATTCGATGCCGCCACTGGAACATTCCCGTCTGTAGTGGACCAGCCCCGCTAACCATCAGATTTTTGTACCTGTAGCATTTACCTGACGGCTCATGCCTTCATCTTCTGCCTCTAGCAAGAACAACCTCGGAGGCAAGACGCTCGCTGATGCCGCAGTACCACCAGTCTCTCACGTGAAACTCACCTGACAGGTCCACGGATATCTTCTTGTTGCTGTGCACGAGGCTGAGCGGGAACTCGGTGAGGTCGTTGGCGGAGGCGTCGAGCACGGTCAGGTTGTAGAGGTAGGCGAAGGGCCGCTGCAGCGACGGCAGCTTGGCCGTCGTCAGGTTGTTGCTGGAGGTGTGCAGGCGACGAGGGCTTAGGAACTTGATAGTCCTAACATACTTCAGGCAGCTAGAGGAGTTTGCGCACAGGTGTCATAAGGGACTGCTGCTCGACGTCATAAGACGTTACGCAAGTACCTGTTTAGTGATGTGCAGCCACAGATGGCGAGAGACACGTCACGTCATAATAGGAACTCTAGTCACAGGGACATGGAAGAAGAGTAAACGATCTGTAGGGAGCGAAGAAGTATGACGGGGTGGAGTGCAATCTGCCAAAGACAGCTGCGGTTTGGCACATTTCTCATCTGATTCGGCCCGGTATTACCGTAAGCTTGTATGACCATGGAAAGGTGAAAGGATGTCTTACTATAACACTACCATCTGTTTTAAGTAGAATTCTATTCTGCGACTGAAATGGTCCAGTAAGTGACCAGCCCGGCTGGTCATCAGATCTTGAACATGGCATTTACCTGACAGCTCCTTCCCTCCTACTAACTCTTCCGCAAGAAGAGACTCGGAGGCAAGACGCTCGCTGATGCCGCAGTATCACCAGTCTCTCACGCGGAGCTCACCTGACAGATCCACGGAGATCTTCTTGTTGCTGTGCACGAGGCTGAGCGGGAACTCGGTGAGGTCGTTGGCGGAGGCGTCGAGCACGGTCAGGTTGTAGAGGTAGGCGAAGGGCCGCTGCAGCGACGGCAGCTTGGCCGTCGTCAGGTTGTTGCTGGAAATGTTCAGGCAGGCTATCGGCGAGTGCTTGGGGAACTGGCCTGGAAAGGAATCAATAGCATCATCAGTCTTTGAAAGGCGATTCTACTCAATATAACGCCACAGCGCGTTGAGAGCTGGTTTTATTCAGCGGCTTCTCAAATACAATTACATTGATTGAACTCGAGCTCATATGCAGTTTGACGGGTTGTCGTGTTTACCTATTGATCTTTACATTGCATCTTTCGCTTTCGTAGTCAATGACAAATTGATAAAGCGTTTGATTCCTACGTAATTACAATTATTTGTTCCCTGAAATTCAATGGACCAGACAAAAAAGAAGTGAGCAATTTCAGATGCCAATAGTAGGTATAAAAGGTAATTTACTTGTTGAGCTTACAAAAGTCTAACAAGCTTATGTTCAGCAGCGGACATCTTGTGGCTGAAATGATGATGATCATGACGTGTTAGATCGTCTCGTAAACTTGTCATAATCTAACACTGCCTGTTGCAGCCAAGGACGTAATCTAGCTTCTGGGCCAGTTGCAACAATTTTTCGGCAGGGTACCCGTGCATAAACAAAAAGAAATATATGTAAGGGCACACAGTTTTCAAAAAGGGCAGAGACAGTTGAATTCCCGTGCCCGTCCCCCTGATACCTCAATGTGTTACTACTGACTTACCGCTGATCTTGCCGATGTCTCCGTCGGTGAGCGCCATGGAGGCCAGGCGTCGGAACACAGCTTGTGACAGATCCAGCTCGTCGATACTCGCGTTCAGAACGTGCAGGTACGTCGTGTTCTGGGTTACTGGAAGATAACAACATTTCCTTAAATGGGGATGTTGCCTGGGTCAAAAAGCAAGAGTTTTAATTAGTCCGTCAGTTAACTTATCAAAAAATACTCTACACGTATTTTTCACTTTTTCAAACTAATGAAAATTTAAAGAGATAAAGCGCCCCAAAGTTCATAAGAAGAGGCCCGTGACGTCAACGCTTGCTTAAAAATGCCGCACGTTGTGACGTCGTGCGCAACTTCAACGCACCATAACTATGTAATTAAATCGATATTGTTTTACACGTTATCACGATTTTGAGTACAAGTTTTGTAATTCCAATTATCGTAACGCACACTTGTACCTAATCTACTTTGCCAGTCTTTTGCTTTCATTTATTGTTAGTCAAACATAACTACGCTATTATAACTTCAAAATATGATTTACTAAAAAAAAATTCAAAATCCTTTGGTAAAGTTCCATACAACTTGATGTGGTACAATTTAGCCGACTAGGTGATAGTGCTTTTAAAAAATCGGTAAAAAATATAGCTTATAAATACCGAAAAATGTTTCAAATAATTGTAATCCACACTAATTTACGCTTCTAAATAATATATTAGAAACACCCTGTGATTAAATTTAACAAAATTACAATCTAAACATGTATTGTCAAAAGTTACTTGAAAACAATGAAAAAATACTTTTCAAAATAAAACACACGTGTTTGTTGTCACGGCAAAAACCACATGGCCGATATTAATTGTTTTTAGTTGTGTATCGCTGAGTGTTGCAATTACAGACATTCAATAAATACTTTACGAAATATGAGGGTGGTACAATTTACCCGGCGGTACAATATACCGAACTCTCCCCTAAATATTACCTAAATCTGAAACTTAAAATAGTTAGTTTCTCAAATCATGATATAAATACCCAGTCAGGCCATTATTTTAGTTATAGGAAAGTTATAAACTTTACGATTGCCATTATAAAATAAAATAAAAAACAAGAAATACTTAAACAAAGATAAAAGAACCACGACAGAAATATCACTTACTTGAGTCGCCTGCGCAGCGGGGACAGAAACAATTCGCATATTAATGGAGTTGTTACAAACTTACAATGTTATTGTGTTTATTGTTATTACTAGGCAAAAGGGTTACAACAATTTGAATAATATGGAAAAAATAAATAAGTTAAGACAATAATAGACTAAGAGCTAGTGAACGCCAGGGCTACCTATGTTGGGAGCATGCGCTGACAATCTTTCAGCTTATATAAAATAACGTACGTCTAGCCACGTCTGGCGTTCACTAGCTCTTAGTCTACTTGATAGTGTGAATAAATCGAAGTAGTGAAACGGTAGATAGTGTTTTTCTGATAATTCAGAGACCATCTCGAAAGAAAGCAAAGGATAATTTTTTCTCGAGTGAAAATCTCGTAAAGTAGAAATGGCTGATCCCAATAAGAATCTCCACTCCCTTCTGTTCTGCACCACCTATCGGCAGTTATCGTGTTAGAGATCTTGCAGGTCTTCGCAACTTTGTCTCCTTCGATGCTTGGGACGATCGTCAGTCGTCAGTCATTCGATCTATCTATTTAGCTTAAAACTAAACGTAGAGCAGACTTACTGGAGTCGCTGAGTGCGTCCTTAAGTCGGGCGCTGTCCAGATCACAGCAGAAGACGGACACGTCGCCAACCTTCTTGCAGGAGCCTGGGGGTGGACATTCGTCGCGCGGCATGTGGAAGCATTTTCCTAGCTTCAGGTAGCGCTGGTGAGCGGGTTCCGGCCGCTGCGTTGATGCCATAGGCGGTTGCTGACGATTGCACAGAGAAAATACGAATTAGCTTTACATAGGTACTTACTACTAATAACATTGGTAAATTCGTCCAAGCATTGGACACTTTGGTTTTCCTACGGATCTCCTTATTTCTGATTCGACCACGTAGGGAAACTCCGTTTAAGCATAGCAGGCTGACAGACTCCATCACCCTTTGGGTTATCCTAAGGGACCAAGTCTCCGTTTCTTACGTCATCACTGGTAACACACATTGGTCAAGAACTTTAGGCTTGAAACACTGCAGTATTTTTGACGAAATGTCGCGTTGCGTCTAATGAAAGTCACGGGAAGCATCTGGACGCGATCAGCGCAGGACCGGGAATTGTGGAAATCCTCAGCAGCTTATGGGAGCTTCAGCAGTGGAAAGACGTCCACGCAAAGACAGCGTAGTTTTTTTTTTAAACAAACTAGCACAAAAATTATTCCAATGGCATAACTTAACATAATTTTCGTATTTATAAAATAGGTAATCCATTACCTCCCTCGGCGCGGGCTGCTCCAGGTCATCCACCCTCATCTCGATGGTCGGCAGATGCAGCAGCAGGTACACGACGAGGGCCCATAGTGCGCTCTACGACAAAACAAGAATACCTTTAACAATAACACTCATGATCTTAAAGCAGTGCCTATGTAGTTGCGTTCAAAGCATTAAAGACGATTCTCATACTGTTTTCACTGGGATGGGAGAATATTATTGACTGGGAACCTCACATAAAGCAGCGCGGGGGAGGGGATGCTCTCTTTACACACAAGTCTCTGTCTATACCTACCTACCTATATCCTTATTATTTTATTGTATATTATTAATTTCGACTACTAATAACTACCTAGTAGCAATTATGATGTTAATGCTATAAATACTTTGACGATTCAAAGATTTAATACGTGGGTAGATTAGTAGCCTAGATTACCTTTTTTGTGTCTTTTAACGGTGCTACTATTGCAAGTAATTTCAAGCTACCTACATAGTCGGCGAGCCACAAATTAAATTCACCTTAACGACGTGCTTAATCAAACAGGTCATTATTAAATCATCACTAACTATACAAAAAACGTGTTCTTAGAAACCATGTAAGTATTGCATTTATGACGTCATCTACAACGCCACTTTCTTTTCAAATAGAAAACTACCTCCGAAAGTCAATTTACATGTTTTCTCAATTAGGCTATCACATACACAATTTTCTTTGGTAACTGTGTGAAAAGACTGCTGGATACTTGTATTTTGGTGGGTAGGTGGGTTTTAGAACGACCAACGCAAACATTGCCAGAGTAAAAAAAATATCTATGACTTGTTCACAACTTTTTGATGATGTTTTCTAAATTACATAATGAGGGAGGGAGAGCAGCGACGAATTAAAGATGGCGAATTGAAAAAAGAAATCTGTGGTTGAGGGTTATACAAATACTGAAGTTTTATTCACTAAACAGATTTATTTCGAATACGAATCCAATGGATATGTGATTCCTCACGCAATAAAATTTACACAAAAATACTTTACACAGGCTACAGGCTGCTTGGAAAGTATTTAGCAGTAAACTCAAACTTTCAGTGCCCGCCCTACTAACTTCATACAGTTTAAAAGTTTATCAAATTTAATAATCACTTTACTAGTTATCCGAAAAAAGGTGATGTTTTTAAGAGACGTCATTGATCCTCCAAAAAAATAAACGTGGCAAATATTGGACATACATTTTAGCAGGGAATTTCACTAGTTTTCCTAAACAAGTACATACCTATATTCATTCAATGATAAACTCTGTTTTTTCCTAACACCCTGTATTAGAAACGGACCACCGCGAGAGCTGTAACCGCGCTATTTCAGGCGCCAACAGGTGGAACAGAAAACACACAGATTTTGAGAGTGATTTGTTGCCATGCAATCATACAAGATAGATAGCAAGCAAGTGTAATATACGAATAGATCTTCGTGGGGAACACTTAGGAAAGCCTATAAAGCAAGATAATAAAAAACTCGGCGTTTAATGTGAAAAATATTGCTTATTTATATTAACTTAGATGTAATATTAATTTATCAATGAGATTAGGCCAGGGATGGCGAAACTTTATGTAGGTATCACCTGACACTTTTCTAAAATAATTCAAAACACATTATTTACTATTTTATTTTATAGCGAATTTTGCGATTGATGGCGTGCCCTAAATATTGTGGCGCGTGCCATTCGTTCGCAATCCCTGGATTAGGCTATAAATATTATGTTTATTTTTGACTCAGAGATTCTAGGAACTAGTTAGGTTCACATGTTGAAAAGGACCCCACGGGATGTTAACCAAGAGATGATTGTCTAGTAAAAAGACGCCGCAAGATATAACACTGTAATGATTATTCACAATAACTGAGATCTGCCATTCAGGCACAATTATAGGCGGTCTTATTGCTTGGAAGCGATCTCTACTGGTAGACTCTCCCTGAGAGGTAAGTACAGACATATGGATGTCTCAGAAAGAGTACAGAGGTATAACTGAAGGAACATTAGTTCTAGGAGATACAATGATTTGTGGATACAAAGTTTAACACCCACAACACAAGAATTAAAATGTTAATTACAGGAAAACGAAGTTAATGCCACTTATCATACACATGTAGTGTGCAGATAGATACCTATTGCTTTACCCGGTTTACATAATTATTATGAGATTGCAACACCACACGTGTGCGGCATGCGGTCTGCGTGGTGTCTCAGGGTTGCCAGTGTAAAAACTTTAAAAATAAATCTTTTTAACTAAACTTAAATAATTTTTAACTTAAGGTTTTTTTAGGCGAAAAATACCAATCATAGGAAGCTTTAAACTTTGTATTTGACTTTATATGGCTCCCTAAAATTACTAAATACCTACTTAGTGGCTAGAATAATATTTTTCACCTCCGCGGATTTAAGTCTGTCGCAGAAAGGCTGTTGAATGCGCCGCTATGGCGATTGTTTTTTTCCTATTAGTAAACACATTACCACTCATTTACGTCGCGCAAACGGGTAAAAAATAACTGACATACATTATTTGCAATGAAGACTGTTCCCGTGTATTTATCGTTACATTAATACATTTCAGGCACCCAGCCAGTGGGTGTAACGGTTGTAAATTAACTTTATTTATAGCTGAATATTACGCTGGTGCTATCGGCTGAAATATGATTATTTGCCGATGGTTAATGATCGGTACATCAGACAGCGCCTATCAACCACGGTTCAGTCACGCATTTTGGCCATGTATCTCGGCGCAGTAATGACTCCGTAGAGCGTCTCGTAGTGCAGGGAAAAGTCGAGGGCACCAGCCCACGTGGTAGATCACCAATGAGATGGACGGACCAGATCAAGGCCGCAACTAAGTGTTCGGTTAGCGAAAGTGCCTGGAAAGCTGCAGTCCGCGAGGAATGGCGCCGTATTACGAGGAACATCACGCATCGTGATTCACAATGATGACCACGACCACTCTGACAAGAGTGTACCGTCTGAGAAGAAAAAGAAGAATGATCGGCAGAAAATGTACTTCAGTGGTGTAATCTCCCATGATGTTAGCTAGACATCGCAACATTCTTAACATTCGTCATAGAGTGGCTGTTTTTTTTTTTTTTCAGAACAATGCAAGTACTCTTATGTATTAAAGTATTTGACCGCAATCGCACCTGATGATAAGAGAGATGTAGTATAGGATGGCATGGGCCATACCTCTACCTCACCCATAAATGCCTATTCACTCTTGCCTTAAAAAGCTCTGGAAATTAGAGTATTTATCTACATAGGCCACTTATCCATTGCAATAAAAAAAACTCATAAAACTCATTTATTTTTGCAAATAGGCTTTTAAAAAGCACTTTTACACGTCCCAATATTAACCCTACCACTGCTTCGGGACAATAAATGGGCCAGTGCTGAGAAAAAGCAGCGCAAGAAACTCAGTCACTATTGATATCTGTATATACTGCACTGCATTTTGGTCGATGTCAATTATTGACATGATAATTATTACGGGATTTGGATTACACCCAGAAGGTAGTTAAAATCAACAAGAAGAACATTGGGCAGTAGAATGCTTAACAAGTAGGTACACGATCTCATACATTCTTAGGTACATAGACAATACAGAACACCAAAAACACAAGTCCAAACAAGACTTCCAAAACTCGTGACTAAAATAACTCCAAATAGGCTTCCCAGACGTGTGCCTGTTTAAGAGCGGCCGCGACCGGACCTCGGCCAATTATCTAATATCCCGCTTCCTCCAAGAAGTGAACCCAAGGACTGACGTGTCGGTCAGCCTCACGCTACTACACTTGGACAATAGGGTGTCCCGTCGTTGTATGGGAAAAAAATTTTTTTAAGCTACGGTTACGCAAGAGGTATCAANAAATTTTTGTTAAATTTATGCTAAAAGTATGTAATATTATAACAAAAAAGTGCGGTGCGATACCTTACAGCAATAAAACCTCAACAGAAATAATACCAACAGCCTCGCCGAAGGAGTAGAAAATTTGAGAAAAACAAGTCAAAATATGAATTCTGCTAGTTCGAACCAAACCTACTCCTCACTGGAAACAGTCTGTCATTGCCTGCAAATCATATCTTAGGGTTCAACTGCCACTGTTATTACAAAATAAAATGAAATAATTGTGAAAAAAATATAATAGATGACAAACAGTGAAGGGCTGATTAAGTGATTTTTTGAGACATAAAAATGCCGGTAGAGCCCTTGAGACATTATTTTATATTTTTTTAATTATTTTTACGGTAATCTACATCTTATGACGCAACTTTTGAGGGGTCTTGTGTAGCGAAAATATAAAAAAAGATATTTCGGGACACCCTATTGGACAATGCTTTTGACTCTGGATGTCCATTTTCAGCCGTTTCTCGAGTTATGCTTGGCAAAAGAAAGTAAAGTACTCTTAAGTACAGTGCATGCAATACGAGAACAAACATCGACTACGAAACGATGCATAAGTAAGTGCATAACAAATAGAATCGCATTCAATCGTACCTAATAATATTTTTTTTTGCGAATAGAGCCGTGGGTCAAGTTCCGCCTTATGCAGCTCGACTTTTTCAAGTTGTTTATTCAAAATTTAGAATAGCATTTGATGAATTTTGGTAGAGTTTGATCACCGAGGTGAGGAACCAAAAGGAATAAGTTAATCTTTATTCCTCTCTAAGTAGTTAAGATAGGGAGAATTAAGGTATATCCCATCAAACAGCAAGTAAGAGAAATGAACATAGCTTGTGTAAGTTTATATTACGTTTCGAAAAGGAAACGAAACTTCTAAAAGAAAACTTTCAGAAGACATGTAGTTTTAATTTACAACATTTACATTTCAATATCATTTCTAGACCATTTGTTGAGATATCTTTACAGCATCATATAACAGATAAATATCTGCTAACCATATAGAAACCATTCATAGATCAAATGAGTAGTACATAATAGTTGTAAGCTTTGATAAGATCGCTATAAATAGGGCCCGATAAAAACTTTACATACCTAATAAGGGAAGCGGTACTTTATTGGATCGGCTCGTATATTATGAATCATAGTATTATTTATACTCATAGTAAACC